TGACTGGGAGCTGAGACTGGCTGCTGCTACCTATCCAGTATCTCCAGAGAGGATTGTACTGCCTAGCGCTAGCCAGGGAAAAGACCCAAATTCAAAATTCTGTGTACGGTTTCTACCGAATGCAGATCCCCATCATAGAGTCAAACCATCATCAGCTGAACCATGATAAATCGGGGACTGTCTATCCAAGGTCTTAAAAAATAAGAAGAGGTTTGTTTGGCAGAGAAGGGAAAAGGATTTGCAGCAGAGAAGCAGCTTGGGAAAAGGGAGAGGCATGAAACAGGTGTATTAGGAAGTCGGTGTAAAAGTAGAAAGTGGGAGAAATGGGTTGGGTGGCTACATAAGGGCAGTATCACCAAAGACCTTGCGTGAAAAACTTGACAGTGTTGACTTTATCAGAAATCATTAGAGTACTTAAGAAGATAATGTGATCAGGGGCGCCTGGGTGGCGCAGTCGGTTAAGCGTCCGACTTCAGCCAGGTCACGATCTCGCGGTCCGTGAGTTCGAGCCCTGCGTCAGGCTCTGGGCTGATGGCTCGGAGCCTGGGGCCTGTTTCCGATTCTGTGTCTCCCTCTCTCTCTGCCCCAACCCCCGTTCATGCTCTGTCTCTCTCTGTCCCAAAAATAAATAAAAAACGTTGAAAAAAAAATTAAAAAAAAAAGAAGATAATGTGATCAAACTTGCCTTCGAGAATGTTCTTTCTGATGACAGTTTGGAGGAGGCACTGGATGAGAGCAAAATATTACATAAGGGGACTGGGTGTGAAGTTGAGAGACTGTTTTAATGTGCACATCATATATGGTAAGGACCTAAGCTAAAGCAGGGCAAGGGGGATAGAAAGGAGGATTTAAAAAATCATTTAGGAGCATCCATGTGGTTGCAAATGGCAAGATTTCATTTTTAATGGCTGAGTAATATTCCAATATGTATATATAGCACACATTCCTTATCCATTCATCTATTGAGGGACACTTGGGCTCCTTCAATATCTTGATGATTGTGAATAATGCTGCAATAAACACAGGGGTGCGTATTTCTGAAATCACTACAACACCGTATATTAATTATACTTGAAATAAATAAATGAATATTAAACAAAAATCATTTAGGAGGCAAAATCAGAAGGACTTGGTAGCCAGCTGGATGTCTAGATGTGAAGGAGAAGTACTTAATGCCAAATACATTTTTTTTTAAATTTTTTTTTTCAACGTTTATTTATTTTTGGGACAGAGAGAGACAGAGCATGAACGGGGGAGGGGCAGAGAGAGAGGGAGACACGGAATCGGAAACAGGCTCCAGGCTCTGAGCCATCAGCCCAGAGCCCGACGCGGGGCTGGAACTCACGGACCGTGAGATCGTGACCTGGCCGAAGTCGGACGCTTCACCGACTGCGCCACCCAGGCACCCCAAATGCCAAATACATCTACTGTTGGTTATCACAGTCTGTGATGTATAGTTCTGCTTCGGGTCCTTACTGGTGATCCAAAGCAAATTGTGCCCCCATAGCCCTCAGAGGAAAAAACCTCCTAGAACAAAAAACGAATACATCTTAAGGGGATTTTGGATTTCATTGGGGTCTTTTCTCCACTTAAATTCACAGAAAAACCCAAGGAGGTTCACTAACTGAAAATTTATTGAGGGAGCTGATGGTGCATCCAGAGAGCATTGGTCTCCGTCTCTCGATCATTCCCTCCCACATTTGAGGTGCACACCAGTCACCCGGAGATCTGACTAAATTGCAGGTTCTGATTCATTCAGTCTGGGGTTGGGGTTTGACATCCCTCCTGTTTCACAAAGCTTTCAGGTGAGGGAGATGCCCTGGACCACGGTTTGAGTCGTCTGTGTCTCGACCGTTTCACAAGGAGGGAAATACGACTTGTTGGTGTGTCAAAATGGGCCCGACCTGAGGGCAACAATTGGAAAAATAGCACAGGTCTCAGGTTACGCTGCTGCTGTTGCTGCAGACCTTTCAAGTCTTGTCTGGGTGGGGCCTCTTGGGAATGGTACGCGTCCCAGGAAGAGACCTGGTAAAGTCCTATACAGTCCTATATAGTCTGAGCCAATAAGGTTGTCCTTGTGTTCCACCAAGAGCCACAAAGAGTTTTCTCCCCATGCTGCCCCTGGCATGTCTCACTGAGTAATCAAACCCCACCTCAAACCCCTGGCCCACACACAGTCCCACCTAGCCAAAAATGGGATAGCGTGAAGTTTTGTTAAACTTGCTGTGGGGGTGAGGAATATTTTGGGTTAAGAGTTATAAAAGGTTCTTTGTAGCAATTACAATATTTATGTACCTGTCACCAGAGACAAACAAGGCTGGAAATTAGGAAACTGACTCCTTCTTACCTTGTGAGTCAGCTTTCATCCATGCTTGACCTCTACTTACTGACCATGCGGTGCTCAGGTTACAGTTTGTTTATATATGCCAGCTCTTTAATTACGAGAGCATAAGTCCTAGGGACCAGGACCAGATGCTGGGGTTGGCATTGCCTGGTGGGAGACTGACAAATGGCCTTGGGTGGCTCAGACCCAACCTGGCCTGCTCTGGTTGCCTGAAATAGAGAGGAAATTTTGCTGTAGGGAGACTGCAGTAGGCTCTGAGATTAAGAGGAGTCTAGATGGAGGAAAAGCGCTACCTTGGGAATCAGGAAACTAGTTCTAACTCAGCAATAACTGGTTATGTGATTTTGGACGAGGCATTTTGTCTTTCTCGGCCTTAGTTTCTCTCTCTGAGAAATGAGGACGTAAGCCAGTGGTGTTCAGACTTGTTCTCTGCAGAACCCTACAGTTTTCATGGAGGTACTAGGAGGATCAGACTGGATCTACCAAAAAATTACCAACTCTGGCTCATATGGGTTGGTAGCTCCCCAACATACACACGCCCTTGCTGTTTGGTGTGATGGTAACCTTTTACCATTCCACAGAAGTGTTTCCACTGGTGAGGCCATGGATTTAGATTTTGGACTCCAAAAAATTTAACTCTAATGTTGCCCTCAGGAATCCTAGGAGCATGTCACACATGGAAAATACTTAGAAAAAAAGCACATTAACTATATGAATGTGACAGCATCTATTGTATTTCTGGGGTATACTTGATCTTTTTTTTTTTTTAAGCTTATTTATTTGAGAGAGAGAGAGAGAGAGAGTGCGCCAGCTGGGGAGGGACAGAGAGAGAGGGAGAGAGAGAATCTGAAGCAGGATCCGCCCTGTCATCACAGCGCCCAACACGGTGCTCGAACTCACGAACCACGAGATCATGACCTGAGCCGAAATCAAGAGTCGGATGCTCAACCGAGTGAGCCACGCAGGCACCCCCAGGGTATACTTTATCTTAAGAAAATGGATTGATTTCTGAAAAGCCAGTTTCCTGAATTAATTTTAGCAAGCCAAACTGACTAACCTACTTTAAAAAAAAATGCCCTTATTCGGGGTCCTGGACCATAAGTTGGAGCTACATAGCTAGAGCAACTGCTAGACTTGTCTTGCTCTCAAAAATATTTCCTCCAAGGAGCATATCATCTTAGTAATTCATTTAAAAGAGGTTTACCCATTTTCATTGTCTTGATTGTGTGTTTTTATGTGTTAAAATTCTTTCTGTGGTCTGTACTAAAGGGATTGTTGCTCTGCTAGTATTTTGCCAGCTCTGATTTTCCCAGGAGGGTTTGCGTTCGGCAGGCTGAACAGGTTTACAAGCACTGAAGTGCCTAGGAGCAAAGTTCAATCAAAGTGGCTATTTATATACAACTTGTACTTACAATGGAACATTTCACAAAGGATTTCCCTTTGTAACACTGACAACAGTGACTTGAAAACAGCAGGTATACTTGTTGAATGACCGAATGATCATTCATTCGTTTATTCATTCCATGGCATTGACCCCATCACAGAGCTCTCTGTGAATTACTGTTTTCTACTTTGGAGAATTGAAATGAAGCTGTGCTTCTTCTAATAACTATGCTTTCATCTTGACCCGCTCAGCCAGCTGGGGCTTCATATTCACCCGGCTTCCGAGGTCAGTCTTTTTGGGCCAGAGGCTACACACCGTTTTTCTACCGTTCTGTTTCCTCAGTAGGATTCTCCTCTTCGGCTCTTGCCCTTGACCGTAGAATTACCATTCAACGCAGAGACTACTGACAAAAGGGGGCATTTCTGTGTGTGTGAGTAGGGGTAGATCGTGATTACTTAATGGAAACTTGAGTCTCAGAAATACCGTGCGATCTAGGGGATTTTCATCCCACTGAATATTTTCGTTATTTGCTTATGTGAGAATATACGAGTTCATGTGCACAAATGTGTTTAGTCTTTTCATATTACAAGCCAATGCCTGATTGAAAATTTGACATCAGAGGACTGACAGATTGGACTCAGACTCCCATGGGCTTGGGAGCATCTTCAGAAAATAACATTATATTCCTACCTTCCAGAAGATGGGGAATTGGCTTTTTAAAGCATTGTGTATGACGGGGCGCCTGGGTGGCGCAGTCGGTTAAGCGGCCGACTTCAGCCAGGTCACGATCTCGCGGTCCGGGAGTTCGAGCCCTGCATCGGGCTCTGGGCTGATGGCTCGGAGCCTGGAGCCTGTTTCCGAGTCTGTGTCTCCCTCTCTCTCTCTGCCCCTCCCCCGTTCATGCTCTGTCTCTCTCTGTCCCAAAAATAAATAAACGTTGAAAAAAAAATAAGTGAGGCTATAGACTAGGAAATCGGTTCTGGAACTCAAAGGGTCAGTGGTCCAATTCACTTAACTAAGAAAACTGTGGGTAAGATAGCATGAGACACCGATAAGGAGGGACTGAGAGAAGAAAGCAAGAGACTGCACTTTCCATTTCCTTACTTGACCTTGAGCCCCTCTGGAGCTAAGCATGCCCATCCATAAACTAAGGACAGATGAGCTGCCTCTCAGTTTTCAGTGATCTTGGAGGTATGTGCAGACATTAATGGATCAGAGCATTATATTAAGAGTGTCATAGAGACTCTTTGAAGAAGGCACGGTTGCAGCTGAGAGTGGAGCTCTGGATGGCCCCCTCCAGCTCCTGATTCATCACTGTTCAATCTGGCCGAGGAACACACTTTTAAAGACCCTGGGAAGATACCCGGGGAACCTGAGGTGGTGATTCACCAGATTAGAATTACTCTAACCAGCTGCAACGTGCAGTCATTGGAGAGGGTACGTGCTGACCTGCTCAGAGGCGCAAAGGAAAAGAATCTTGTCGTGAAAGAACCAGTTCGGATGCCTACCAAGACTCTGAGAATCACTACAAGAAAAACTCTTCGTGGTGAAGGTTCTAAGACTTGGGATTGTTTTCAGGTGAGGAGCTGCAGGCGACTCATTGATTTGCACAGTCCTTCTGAGATTGTTCTGCAGATTACTTCCATCGGTCTCAAGCCAGGAGTCGAGGTTGAAGTCACCAGTGCTGACGCTTAAATCAGCTTTTTGAATGAACTGATTATCGGTTGTTACAAAAAGAAAAAAAGAAAGAAAGAAAAAGAAAATCAGAGGGATAGTGCAGTGACTCATCATGAGATGACTATGGCAAAGGCACAGGTGTTGAAGCCATACAGACCACTGTTCAAGTCTGAAACTGCCACTTATTAGGATACTTTGAGAAAGCCATTCAACTTTCCTGAGCCACACAACTGTGGCTCCACCTTTAAATTAGAATTAATAAAGTTGAGGGGCTCCCGGTTGGCTCAGTCGGTTAAGCACCTGACCCTTGGTTTCAGCTCGGGTCATGATCTCACGGTTCGTGGGTTTGAGCCCCGTGTCGGGCTCTGCGCTGGCTTCCTTGGGATTCTCCCTCTAAAAAAATAATAAAAAGTTAATTTAAGTAAATGGAATACTAGACCTTATGGAGTAGGTAGTCACTTCCTGGTTCTCCTTGCCATCATCACAGGTAAGAAATAAGTTTATTTCCTGAGCATTAATTTATTCCCCAGGTATTTTGAGTGCTCACTATGTATGTTGGAAATTAGATATGATTTAACATCAGCCGAGGATGTCAGTGAAGACAAAGTGAAATCATTTTAATGCATATGAAGGGACTATATTGCCCTTAAATAAAATGGTTCAGCTTATAACTGACCAATTAGATTTCAGCTGCACACAAATTGCTTTTGTTTGTTTTTAGACTTGTATACTACATCATTCATATTCTCACCCAGTCTTTCTTGTGATTAACAACGTATCTGCAAGATGGCCACACAGGAAAGTAAAGCTGGAATCCAGCTCATGAACAGTGGACTCCTTGAGTGCAACTGTCTCATAGTTAACTGTGCCTTTCACTGCCTAGGAATAGCATATAGACTTTGAGTTTTATTCTGGAGGAAATGGAAGGCTTCTGAAAACTTTGATCAGAGGAGTATCATGAACTGACTATATTTGAAGCGACTTATTCCGCCTTATGTGGAGGACAGATGGTTAAGGGGGCAAAGGTGAAAGCAGGGAGGCCTTTGGATGGTCTCTGTGATAATAAAAGGGTGACATTACAGTGATTTGGTCTTAAGCGGCTGTGGTGGGAGATGGTGAGAAACGATTGGATTCTGGACCCGATTTGAAGCTGGCATGACAGAATTTGCTGGTGGGTTGTAGTGTGGTATGAGAAAAGGAGAAGAATCAAGCCCTAATCCGAGGGTTTGGGGACTGAGCCATGAGAAAAATGATGTCAGCACTTACTGAGATGAAGAAAACCAGGAGCAGGGGAAAACTTTTGAGGGGGAAGATCAGGGATACAATTTTATGTGACTTAAATTTGAGACTTCTATTAAATACCCAAGATTTGAATCTAGATTTCGGATCAAACCTTGAAGGAGGAGATAGGAATTTGACTATCGTTGGTGGCTAGATGGGGTTCAGTGTCAAATGACTGGGAGAGATCACCGGAGAGTGGACGTTGAGAGGAAAGGAGACGGGGTCTCAAGTGTGAGCCCTCAAACACTGCAACGTTTAGCGGTCAAGAAGACAAGAAGGAATCAGCAAAGGAGGACCGAAGGAGACCGAGAAGAAGGAGAACTCGAAGAGAGACTGGCGTCTCAGAGACAAGAAAGAGAAAAAATTAAGAGGTTTCGAGGAGAGGAAGAGGGAGTGGTTCGCTGTGTCAAACGTTGCCAGTAAGCCCAATAAGAGGAGGACTGAGGACTGATCTTTAGATTTGGCAAAGTCTTATTGATAACCTTGACAAAAACTGTGATCCTGGAAACACTGGGAAGGTGACCACTGATTGGATGGCGTTCAAAACAAAAGAGGAGGAGAGATAGAGAGAGTGAGAACAGACATCTCTTACAAGGGTTTTGTTTTAAAGGGGAGGAAAGTAATGGGGCGGGGGGTAACGGCTTGAAATGTAGGGTGTGAGCAAGCACGCACTTATGGCCCAGGCACTGCTGAGTCAGACGGGATGCTGGCTACAGGTCTGGAGCAGGGTCTTGGAGGGCCCTGCTGATCAGACTTTAAGCCTTTGGTTGCTGGATTATGGAATGCCCATGAGGTCCCGGGGGAGGGGTTGGGTTGAAAGAAAATGGGAGAGGGGAGACTTGGGAAGCTCAGGGCAGTGGTTGCATACTGACAGGCCTAGAAGTGTCTCAGTACTTTATCAGTCAACATGGCGGTACCAGTGTGTTTTAGTTGGAACATCAGCCTGGATCCATAAAGAGGTGTCTTTCTTTATTATCTTCATTTAAAACAATTTTTTAATGTTTATTTATTTTTGAGAGACAGAGACAGAATGCGAGTGGGTTAGGGGCAGAGGGAGAGGGAGACACAGAATCCGAAGCAGGTTCCAGCTGTCAGCAAAGAGCCCGATGTGCGGCTCGAACTCACGAGCCGTGAGATCAGGACCCGAGCCGAAGTTGGACGCTCAACTGTGACTGAGCCACCCAGGTGCCCCGTCTTCATTTTTTAAAGAAGAGGATATTGCAGAATATTTTCACGATGTGAAATGACCAGAAGAGAGGGGAGATTTGAAAAATCGATGATGTAGGAGAATGCGGCGAGAATTATAGGAATTCTTGAGCTGGGTGAAGGGGGATGGGGTAAGCACATAAATAAAACGGGTTGGTTTGATGAAAACACAATTTTTTTGGTTCCTTGTAGCAGGAGGGAACACAGACATGGGTGAGCTGCTGAGACGTTGTGGAGGGCATGTGAAATTTCTTTTCTGGTTGCTTCTATTTTCTCTCTGAAAGAGAGGAAATTTATTAACACCACAATTGTTTTATTATATTTAAAAATTTTTTTAAGTTTTTATTTATTTATTTATTTTGAGAGCCAGCATGAGTGGGGGAGGTGCAGAGACAGAGAGAGAGAGAGAGAGAGAGAGAGAGAGAGAGAATCCCAAGCAGGCTCCAACCCTGCCAGCATAGAACCTGAGGCCAGGCTCGAACCCTCGAAACTGTGAGATCTTGACCTAAGCCGAAGCCAAGAGCCGCATGCTCAACCGACTGAGCCACCCAGGTGCCCCAACACCGCACATTTTTATCTTGCTCAAGGTCACCATGCATCCACGTTTTATCTGAGATTTATGTAGAATTCTGGGGAAATGCTGGTCACTAGAACTACTTTTGCTTCCGAATCCGTGTCTCCTGCCGGGAGACACCCAGCTGCCGAATTTCGGTCCCACCTCATTCCATGAGTGATGATCAGAGCCCGGTTTCCTTTTGGGACGGTTTATAGAGCATGGTGACCCCTGGCCCTCTCATGCCCTGCTTTGCTATGGAGTAGCCCAGAAAGGAAACATTTCTTGTCTGGCACAGTGCTGTATCCGGGGCCCCTAAGAGAACACGACGCAGAGTAGGTGTTCAATAAATATCTGTTGGATGACTTGAGGGAGGGAGGGAGGAAAGATTTCAATCTGCATCTAGAAGGGACACCACTAATCTAGCCTAGTTACGTTATGTTTTTGTTTCTGCTCAGGAGATTTACATCTTGTTTATAACCAATTCCTCTGGTGCGTGTTTGTCGTTCTGAAATTTTTGCCAAGAGTCAGGAAAACATCCAAAATGGCTGAAGGATGGCAGTGTTTGATTGTTTGCCTCGCTCTCTACCTCCGAAGTTAATATGATGCTATCTGAGTGCAAAGGCACAGACAGGGAGGAATTTAATGCAAATTTAGCCAGGAGTCTAGTGCCACTTCACAAAATATTGATTAGGTGTCTGATTTGCTCTCCCCTGACAATGGGCCATAGGAATAAACCAATGAGGTGGGCTCAACCCCAGCTCGTCATGGTCATTCGATAAAGCCAGGCAGCCAATGAGGAGCAGCTACCTTTTGATTGGGCGAGAGGCCAGCGAGGGGGGGAAACCGTCTTAGCAACAGCAGAAAATATTGCACACGCCCTTGCACGCACACACAAACACAGACATCACGCTTTGCCACCCTGCTGCAGTGAACAGTTGCTGATTGTGTCTCTTAAGGCTTTTGTTTAAACCATAGTCCCGCTTCCAAAGGCCCAGTTTCTGTTCACAGATCACACTGCTTACCTGGTCAGTCAGCCCATAATCCCTTTTTAATGGAATGAAGGAACAACATTCCTGTCAGCGCCCCCCCCCCCCCCCCCCCCCCCCCCAACCCCAACACACATCTCATTAAGGGCGAACTTTGTTCTGCAGGTGAACAGCACAGGCTTTGTTCTGAGATGTACCGTCCTGATCCCTTGCAGGGAGCCGGGCCCACCACTGTCCTTCCTGACCCAACATGCAGATGGGGAAGGAGGTGTGGCACGGAGGACAGAGGACGGGCCGCTGCCGGACTGTTGTTTCTTTGGCCTCCCGTAAGAACTGCAGAAGGCGTTTCACTGGGCTAGTGCAGACGTCAGTGTCCGTGTTACTTTCCCTCCGGGCTTCCCCTTTCATTGTTCGTGGCCTTCACATCCAGGGCCCAGGAAAGCTTTCCTGTGTTCAGTGTGGCACTTGGCAATGTCTTGCTTTGCCGCTGGGTTCCAGATATGTAACGTTCTCATTCAGAAGGCTCCTCTCCTCCGGTCTCCACTGTGTTTTTATGTGTCCTGGGCAGCTGCCCTTATTCCCCAGGTGCTGGGCCAGGGGGGCTGCCTGCCAGTCCCCGGTGTCCCCAAATCAGTAGCTGCCGTGGCTTACTTGCCTCATTTCCGCACTCGCCCACCCCGTATCCCGCAAGTGGCGATGGCAGGTAACTGGGAAGGTGCCTTGGTTCTCAACATCATTCTTTCCTCCATGAACTTCGCTTCTTTGCCCTCACGGCTGGCTGTGGCATGAATCTGATCCAGGAGCACCTGTCCACGGTTATCCAGTCCTGCCGGTGGCTCTCACTCCTGTTCCCTGCGGAAAGTTCTAGTTCTGTCTGGGTAGGAAAGCCCGGCGGTTAGGACAACTTTCATTCACTCTCTGAGGCACGGCGGCTCTGTTTTATACTCGAGAAAATGACACTGAGATGTCGTCAGAGGAATTTTCTGGTCCGAGGGGGATGCTTGTCTAGGAAATGGTGACCGGCTGTTTT